ATGTAAAATACAAAATTTACCCAAGACACATGTAATAATAGATAATTGGGGGGTACGAGAATAAATATATGTAAGACAAAAGGGTACAGTTGGCATACAGATGCATCGGTAGGTATAGAGATAAGGTGCACTTTCAAATTTGTCATGGTATATTATTTTGATGTAAAATCTTCTTAGGATTATCTCAAAATCTATTTTTATATTTAATTATAAAATTTTAAATATAAAAAATGGTTAAAATCAAGTAGATCTATAAACATATGAAAATCTTGAAAATGGATGGTGTAGATAATATGTTATAAAATGCTGAGACTTGAAATCTTTTTATTTTTCATAATCATACGTCTCGATATCGAGATGATCAATCAAAAGGTTTTTCAACATTAAACCTACCTTGTCCAATGGATTTTTGTGGGACATCTTTAGTTCTACATTATAAAGTAGCATCCTTATATAAACTTTTCCCAAAACAAAAACATAAGGCATAAGTCATCCGACCCTAGTGGATTTGAAATGAATGGTTGATAGTCGGCCACGCTCATTAGGCCAACTAGAAAAGGAAGCAAGAGTAGAGAGAGAGAAGGAGAGTAGAGAGGCAGAGGCTGTATCATTTAAGAGAGAGAGAGAGGGTGTATCATGTAAGAGAGAGAGAGAGGAGGGGTGTATGAGAGAGAGGGTGTATCATTTAAGAGGGAGAGAGAGACGAGGGGTGTACGAGAGAGACGAGGGGTTGTATGAGAGAGACAGGGTGTATCATTTAAGAGAGAGAGTAGAGAGAGAGAGGGTGTGTCATTTAAGGGAGGGTGCATATTGTGGTGTCGGTGCATCGTCCTTGTGTTCGATCCAAGAAGCGAGGAAGCCGTAAAAAAAGCTGCAAATAATAATTGCATCGACCTTTTAAGTAAAAAGTGAGCGGTAGGTTTTAATGCCTCCTTTCATGCTATGGCCCTCCGGATTTATTATGAATTTGGAAGGTTTTAATGGGACGTACTAGGAATGGTTCTTTTTTTTTGGGGCAAAATAGATAATGAGTTTGATTACTATGGGCGATTCAGCTCGGATTCAGTCAAGAAACTCGGGCTAGATCGTTGGGTGTCTAATTTGGAGATGTTAAAAAGAATTTAAAAAAATATAAAAAATATTAGTAATATGTTTTTTTTTTTTAATGTTTTCTAACTTTTATTGGAAGGTATTTTGGGCATGCATGCATGTTTTACATTTTTCCTTCGTTTTGGATTTTTTTTAAGATACCCCCTTCACAAATTGATTTTTCAAATTCATTTTTTCACTACCTTTTAATCTCATTTAGGTGTGTTTTGTTTGATTTTAAATTTAAAGATTATTTTCTCTTTTTTTGGATTTTTTAATATTTTTTATTTTTAACACTTTTTGGCCTTGGTTGGAACTTAACTCGGCTCAACTTGGACCGTGTTACTTGGACTCGGGTCAAGTACTCGGCTCAGTCTGAGCCAAGCATCCGGCCTGAGTTGCTCTTTCCAACACTGCTGAAATACATTAGGAAAAAAATTCGATCAGCTCAAGGGCAGGAAAAAATATCATGAAAAAAACTCCAAGGTAAAATTTTAAGAAATAGCGTTCCTAAGAGAGATAAACATGCCGCAAGTACAAAAGTCTATTTTAAGGAAGAAGAAATGGTGTTTAGATTGAGGCCCCAGAGCTGGAAGGATTTGTTCTAACCCAAATTCTGTAAATTTCAGGTTCATCACTAAGTGAACAATCTTTTTCCAAAAAATTCGGCTTTGGAGTGGACTAAATCTTGTGTAACATGGAGATGATAATACTAAGGCTGATATGTTAGTTAAAGGAGGAGTGCATCAATCGTCGTTGGTGATCTCATCTTTCTTGTATTTTCCTTTGAGACAATGAAATTCGTCGTTAACTTAAAACAAAATATTTTATTTATTTTTTCCAAAAACTTTATCACATTTTCCAAATATTTGTTTTTCATTAGTTTGGAAGGCTATAGTAACAATTCGCAAAGCCTTAATGGAAATAGTTGAGTACCCCAAGATGAGTTATGAGGAGCCACAATACTCTCTCTCAATTGCCTTTTTTTTCATGTGCATATGTTTTCTATTCTTATAAATATTAACAGGTAGAAATAGAATTCAAAACATCATGTTGTGATATTTGTTTATCTTTACCGATCAAAGCTTTGAGCCGGTTTCTGCACATGTAATTAATAAGGCCAATACCACCTTAAAAGATGTACAAGATTTAGCTTATGCAGCCGGTCTATTTCCATTATAAAATCCCCGCAATATAAAAGTGGGGCTTTTTAATTTAGGGTTAAAATACCTTCTCTTTTTCTTTTGTATACAAAATGACATAAGAAATAGGGCACATATTCTGTCACTTAAAAAATCACCAAAAACGGAGGCACCAGGCATTCTGGGGCTCAGAGCCCGTGCCTAGCCAAACCATTTAGATATAAACCGACTGTTATTCACTCTCTAACCTAAGGCCTCATAGTTATCACAAATCCAAGGTGTGAGTCGAGGGAAAAAATGGGGCAAAAATTAATTATAAATGAAACAAAAGAAGTTCTAAAATTTGAGGTAAGAATGTTCGATTTCTCAAGGTAATATTTACCCATTACTGATAAGAGTCCATGTGTATCTTGTTGGGAACGGAAACTCGCTCAATTATCCCTTGTTGCGGTGAACTCCTCACTACAACAAATCCAATAACACGAAACCAACTCACCTATTACCAGCAAATCAATTCCAATAAATCAATACACCCAAATAACCAGAACCTGGTACAGTAAATTTTGGGAAAATACAAGGACTTCAAGCTAAGCAAAAATAGGAAACCTAAAATCACATCAACGTACTACAAATTACAATTCAAGCACCATCAATATAAATATGCATGGTTCACCCAAAATCAAGCTATATCTATGGGCAACTAGCAAGGAAGATTTCACTATCAATGAAAAAATTACAAATGTTATAGGTATGTAGAGATTAAAATTTTTTCTCTATTATTACCTTATAATAATAGAGAAAAATTGAAAATGAATTTTTCATACTACAAAAAAACCATCAATCGATTTTTTTCTTTATTACACTGCAAAGAAATGTCATTGAAATCTGACCTAATACAATGGTATACACAAAGTTAGGGTTTGTGCAAAACCCCCAATCTCTATCTTCTCTAAAACTTTATTTTTTTTCTCCCAAGAGCTTACCTTACAAAACACTTGCATGCTTCTCTGTAAATTGGTTATAAGGGCTCCATCAAAAGGTGCTTTTCACAATGATTATAAATGCCCTTGTGATGAGAAAAATACCACAAGTTAAATGAGAGGTGATTTTGCATCACCATCCTAACACATTTAAGTTTCAAACAAATTTGTTATCGGGATATAAGGGAGAAGAAGGTTTTGAGAACTATCTCACCAATACAAATGCACAAATAATACGTGATGTAGAACACTAAACTTGCCTCCTTTTAGATAAAAGTAAGTTATCCTTTGGAAAAATAAAAAAACTTCAAGCATATACAAACTAGAGGAAACAAGTCCCTATATAAACAAACTCCATTTTTAACTACTCCACATGAATGTTCAAATACACATTGAGTAAAGAAATGCGTCTTTTAAAATCTCAACCGTCGTAATGGTACATCTGCTGCAATTGACATACAACAAGATACATTTCTACCTCGGCACATGATCAATTGGAAGGCTTTTTGACGTCAAAACTACCCATTCTAATAGATTTTTGGAGGCGTGCCTTACTTCTACAGTGTACAGTGGAGACCTTATATAAAGGTGCGTTTTTTAATAAGTAGTTGAAATAAATATTTCCACCCAACTTACCTCCCACGAGCTATAAAATCAATATTTCCAACCTCTCTCTGTACGAAACATTTGCAACCATTCTCCAGAAACCACACTACCTTACAAATATGGGGCCTTTCCTCGAAATGTCATTTACATTAAGCGAGTTCATGCACTTATATGTGCAAACACCTAGGAAAATAAACGAGGAACGTCGCAACTGGGGTTCTGTACTTTTATACTCATCGTACTCAACTCGATGCAAGACTGAGCATGCAATCCGACCAATACAGAAAATCACACAAAAAATGGACACCATTAAAAATGAGCAAGGAAAAGGTGCCTAACTTTGACCCAGTGTTTGAAAAATTGAACCGGCCTCGAAAACCAGTCATCAGGTCTGGGTAACCAGTAAACGGGCCTGTTCAACTAGCCTAACAGCGCAGGTCCAGCTTGTCAAAAAAGAGTCAAAAAAATAAAAAAAAATCCAAAAAGTATAAAAGGTATATTTAAAGAATAAATAAACAAAACACATCCTAATGAGGTTGAAAAGTATTAAAAAATGAATTCTAAAGAATCGATTTGTACCCAATTGTATTTTTGAATTTTTTTAAAAATGATGAAAAAATATAAAAAATAAGTATTTATAGTCAAAATGCTTTCCAATAGACCAAAATGAAATACAATACAAACAAATTTCTCATTTTTTGGAATTTTAATATTTTTATTGAATATTTTTAAAATACCCAGCCAGACACTATAACCGAATAGGCAATTTTGGTTTGACTGGCCAGTTCGGAGTTGGACCGGCCAAGTTTGCAAAGACCTTGAGATCCAATCGCTCCCATTTGACTGGTCGAGGAAGGTAAAGCGTTGAACTTTGACTCACTGATTTTTGGTTTTTGGCCTAGCAACAGGTTATGACCATCCAATTGGCGGTTGGATAGTGATGGAAAGATGACTGCCCGGTACAGCAAACATTTTATGCTAAGGTCTCACTTTCTCTCCGTTTCCGAGTCGTTGAAGACTTTATAATTAAGACCCAGTTAGCATGCGGCCAAGCCTCCAAATGTACAAATGCGAGCTTTGCAATAAATATATTTTTTAAATATAATTTGAACTTTTAATTTTTAGAATATATAATTTTTAATATAAAAATTATGAATATAAAAAAATAAATAATTTTAGAGAATTAAATATAATAACTATACTAAAAAAACGTCTAGACCGTTTGCATCTATTTTTAAAATAAACGTTTTATCCCTGTGGACCGTGTATTGTACAAATGCAGTCCAACCCACAAAACAACTGTTCTTGTAATTAAGGGTACTTATCGAAAAATATTTACTAGGCCAGCCGTGGGCCTAGCCTGACCCTTATCCCAACAAGGCTAGGCTGGGCCAAGCCAAAGAAAATGAGAAAAAACTAAGAAAAAAAACAAGAAAAAGGGAGAGGAAGTCCGGGCCACACTACCCCTAAGCTGGCCCTAGGGGGACAGTTTGTGGCCCAAGCCCTACTTTTTTAAAGTCGGTTGTGCCAGGCCAGCCAATTGCTCGCTTTAATTTTAAAGGCCCATAGACCATGAAAGCATGAGGAAGAGATTATATTTACCAAACCAATCTAATAGCTCCTTAAAATACCAAAAAAAGTTGATTTAATAAATGAGTGCACCTTTTTACAAAAAGTTGCTTTTACATTAGCTTGATTATTAAAAAAAGATACTATGTACTTATCACTAACAAGAGGGCTTTTATCATTTCATAAAGAAAAACGATGTCGGTATCTTTACTATTTAAATTCTTGAATGCTTATTTTAATGTGCCCTTCGTCAATGATTAAGCTACCTATTGAAATTATTTTTTTACCCAATAAAAAGCAGCCTATCAAGTGAGCTGATTAAACCTTTGCATTTTCTTGAATTAATATATAAATGAGTGGGGAAAAGTACAGAAAATATGGAATTACAATGAATCATTTTAAAAAGTTTACCTAAAAACAAGAATAATTTTTTAAATAAAATGAAAACCTTATTTGGGCGTAAGAATAATTTTTTAAAATGAAAACCTTATTTGGGTGTAAGACTCACAACATCAACTAAGAGTTTGTTAAAATAAAAAGCATAAAGCTTAGTTAATGAATCAGATGGATGGTTACTTCAGAACTTACAGATCACATCATAAAATGGAGAAAAAATGTATAAATGGAATACCTTTAGGCTCCCTCAAGATGACAAACTTCTAATAAAACACCTTCTCTAAGCAAAGGTTGACTGGTTAAGAATTCCCACAAGAAAATAAGACATATATTAAATTTAATTTACAATTGATCTAATCAAACATATTAAAAGTCTCAACTCTTCTGGTAATTCTCACCCAAATCCACAACATGAAACTCTTAACTGAGGGTCACTACTAGCATACCTGAATAAATGGCTTTCCCGGTCAGCAACTCTTCATTCAGCCGCTTGACTCTGTTAAAATAAATACAAGCAAAAGTTACAACAAAATATTAGAGAGAGAGAGAGAGAGAGAGAGAGAGAAAGATTGTAATCTGGACCCTTTGTTGTAGGATCTTTTGACTTTCAGTGAAGTATTGGTTTGGATGGTTAATGCCAGCATCACACGAGCAGGAATGGATTGCCTCAAATGTCAATGTGCATGCTAGCTGCAAAATCTCTCAGCAAAATCAGTTAAGACAGGAGAAACCCAAAACCCGAATTTGGGTTTTACCTAAAAATTTTCCATTGCCTAATCAAAAAGAACGAGATGAAAATGTATGCACCTGATAATGACGGTGCCGGACCTTGTCCATTACATCATCAGCTGTACGAGAACTGACTCCCATTTTGGAAAGAGCAGCTCTTAAATTCTCCTCACTTTCATTACAAAACAAACAAGGACACACACAATATCATCATAGACAGCAGTGATTGTTTGCTAAAGGAAACTACGGGAAGGAAACAAATCATGAAGTCAGAATGTCAGTGCATAATACATGAACTCTTAATGCAGATGCATTGGGAAGGCAAAAACCAATGGATTATGGCCTTCTATAGTTCAATGAAGGCATTCCCATCAGATGAAATAAATGGTGAAGTGAGCAAGACGTGACATGTCATGTCCTGTTCTGGAAGAGTCCCACTCTTAAACACCGCCATTCCTTTATTGGATGAACACAGGGGGGTATGGTTTTTTGTGATCAATTGGATTAATAATACACTACTTATGAGCACAGTTCCTGGCATAAGTACTAGTAATAGCCAACATCAGTTTCCAGGGAAACATCAAAATTTTCCTAAAGAATGCAAATCATTAAAATTACTGATCTGAGGCTCTTCAAATGGGAAGTTAGAGTCAGGAATAGCTATGTTGAATCACCAAGAATACCCCTGACCTCCCATGATACTCTTATTCACCAACATTTGGTATATCCAAAACATGGCTCTCCACATAGACATGGAAACTACAGATGAAAAGAGGTGAGTCCTTTGAGAATAGTACAATAACATGGGCAACATAGAGGAAACTAACAGATCAAAAGCCTGCCGAAAAGTAAAGGGAAGGGTGCTAGGTCTAAAGGCGATTAGTGGAAAAAGCCAGAGGGAGGTTGCTCTAAGCAGCTTTGGTTGGAAAAGATTATCATGTTGAAAACATTGTTCAGTAGAACTATGGCCACATGCATTGTAATACTTACTATCCACTACATTCATTTTCTTAGTGGGCATCAGATATTTTTGCTACTTGTGCAGGGGGAAAAAAGAACCTGGAATTGCTTCACAATTATTAAGACAAATTTGATGTGAACATTTTCTTACTAGGGTAAGTAGAATATGCCAAATATTCCACAAAATAAAGACGATAAAACCTTTGCAATTGCAAGTAGAAGAAATGTAATGTTTCATCATTATGAAGATATAACAAGAAATCTCACAATGGTAGAAATCTCAACTGTTTAATCAGAACTAGGGAAATTCAGTATCCTTCATGAAATACAGCCCATAAATTACATTTCATTCTTCATGTTTCAACATACATTATGGCCATTTTGTACTCTATGCATGTTTTTGAGTGTGTGAAGAGAACAAGAGAGTGAGAGAGAGAGAGAAAAGCATAGTATGGCATTCCCATATTCTGTATATTGCTACAGGACTAATCAATAACTATGATTTGATAACAAGAATTGAATGCAAACCCTATTCCACATCTATGAGCATATCATGCACATAAGCAAGGTAATATCTGTTGTCACACTTTTGTGTGTCTGCATGATAGAAATTATATCAGACCTGAAATGGCGATAAGGGCAACCATGATGGTCTCCAACACCAGGAGTGGATGTAATGATCCTTTGACAAGAGTAAGGCGTGTAATCCTGTATGCACCAAAAAGTATAATTGTTCAATAGCTGTAGCTTTTTTAGACCATTCAAACAAGTTTCAGTAGATGATTATCTTTCGTCATGGTCGGAGGAGAAATTACCAAACGTCTAGCAATCCCTCACACTTGGCACCAATGAGTTTGTACTTATATTATTCATATTTTTCTACGTAATGGAAAGATGAAAGATATGGGTCGAAATATCTCTTGAGACAACGAGTATTTTATTGAAAAATCAAGCTATTACTAAACAACAGATAATTGGTAAAGGATAAGATAGATTTAGAAGCACCCCTATTCAAACAAGTTTCAGTGGATGATTACCGTTCTCTTCCCTTCCTTGCCATAATTATGGCGTATGTTGTATGAATATTCCTTGTCGAATTTTTCAGTACCAACCTATGGAAGACACAGGCAAAAGGCATTGTACATCAGATAAGTTCAATGAAAAGATCTTTTTATTGGTCGAGTGCTCTACCAAGCTTTTCTAGCAAAAAGCTATTGAAGTTACTATTTGAGTTACCTTTACGTGAATTCCTAATCCCTAAAACATGTAGAGCTGGAAAATGTCTCATTTTATCCACCATATCTCACCCTAAATCTATAGAGTCAATTTAGAGTAAATTATCATTTGGCGTGCCAATGGAAGAATACACTATACACATTTCAGTTATAGTATTTATAGATACAAACTCGAACAAATTTTGTCCTCTTCATATTTTAAAAAAAATTGATTAAGTATACATATAAATTTCACAAAATTTTGTCTCACCCATTACTTTTAAATGTTAGCCACACATGCTTAATCCAATATAAGTTTTCTAAGAAAAACCTCAAGTACAACAACATGCTGACCTTCTTCGAGAATTCTACTCTCCAAAATGCAAGAGCATCATCTAGCTTTAAGCCAACTCCCTGCAACATGAAAACATGGCTCAAAGTGAAATGCTATTAATATCATTTACAACATGATAAACTTTTACTGCAAGAATGAAGCTTCGATTTAGTAAATTCGAACAATAATACCTTATTGCATACAATATCCAAAATTATCACCAAGTCAAATGAAATAATATTCATAATGTCATTTGCCAAATGTTAGACAACAATTTTCAAGGTTCTATAGCTCGCCAGCCATAACGTATCGTAGCTTGTCAAGAAAGAAAGGTCACATCAAGCCTTGCAATTGCACATAAAACAGCAGGTAGGACTTGATACCGTAAGATGCTGAATATAGCCACACCCAACTTCCTCATGGCAGATCAGATTATAATACATAATACTTGATTAATTCAGGGATGACTAAATAGATTTACTCGTTCTGCATGTGCACCACAGCATATAAAGCTGTCTCTATCACATGGTAAGGTGGAGAAAACCAATAGCCTATGTGGGTATATCTCATATCTTGATGAAGTTATGGTTAAGCAAACATAACAGCTGCCACCTGAGTCGACACCTAAATTCAGCTTATGCCATTCCCTCATTGTTCGAAGATCAAAGAAATGTGAAATTCTGAATCACAACATGATAAATGTAAACAGCAACAAAAACCATTTATAAAATTTTATTAAAAACACCCTTATACCCGAGCATGGCATCGGAGGTGAGTTAGAGATGTTCCACCTAGCAATGAATATTTTCTCGGAAGATTTCCCAATTTCTTGGGGTAATGAAAAACAACAGTCACTAATTTCAGGGCATAAGCAGAGTTATGTCTCATATAACCAGTAGGGTAATTTAGTTTTAGTGGTTTTGGATGATTTGGGCATGCACCAATTTACAGTCCCATAAGTCACTAGAGCAGACACATGAAAGCATTTCATTCCATTGTCATTGCCTTAAGTTTGAAGAGGGCCCGCGAAGGAGTGTGTTGCACATGCCGCAGTAAGGGTCATATTCATTTTCCTCATGATTTAATTTGAATAACCCAAAAGGCAACCAAGTAATCTTGTAAGCTTTTCTTTTACAACTTTCCCTCAAGGGCAGTTCAGTCAGTTGCCTATATATTGCATTACCCATTTTGGATAGGCTAATACCCAAACTATCACCAAACCAATCAGCATACATATTCATAAATAACATATCCAGGAATGCTGCATGAAGATTACAACTTTTAATGATTGAGTTTATAAAAGGGAGGTCCAAGCATGTTCAAGGACTCAATCCTCAGGAAAGTTCATTTTTTCACAAAAATTATGTATGTCATTGCCTATAGCACAGCACCTTAAGCTATCTTGAACTCAAGCACACATGGCATTCAAGTAATGCAAATTGCATGACATGCATATTATCATATTATCTGCAGTTTAATTTAAGTTTCCTCCCAAAACTAAAATATTCATCAACAACCCAGCTTTTCAAAGTCTATTCTGAATGCCCAGAAAAGAGTTCACGTTTTTATATCCACAGAATATGGCTTGAATCAAGAGAAACTTAACCCTTTTTTAATCTTTAGAAAAAGTTGCATCATTCTGGACCCCAATAAATGGCAGATATTGAAGAATGGAAATGCCTTATGAAAAAGATCGGCAGAAGATGAACATAAATGCTAATAATACCAAACAGAACACAAAAACTTAAGTACCTTAAGAAAGAGACCCAATTGCATCCTTCCCCCATGTTTCAAGTGGTGCTCCTCTCTTAGCTTCTCATAGAAAAGACACATTACAAGATATATCAGGAGAGAAACAGGATCTGAAGGAGCTATCTTGGGGGTGGTTATGAAGCTTGAATCTCATAAAAGATACTAGATATTTCTTTCATTAGATGTAGCATCTGAATACTTATTAAAACTATTACCTTATCAAACAAGTGGCGCATACATAGAGGAAATGAACTATTAGCCACTCGATCAATGTCCTTAATGGATATCTCTGCATACTCTTTCGGCTATAGCAAAAGTTTCAAAATTCTCATAAATCATTGATGTTTCGGACATGAGAACAACATTTTATAATGTGCATCAAACTGAATCTAAGATACCTGAGAGTAGTCAGGACCCAGATAACTTGAGCTTAATGCTTCCACAATCTACATAAAGAGTGCAATGATAGTCAATACGAGAAGTTTGATACCAAATTCTATCTACATATGGTCCAAATGTATAAAAAACAAAGAGGCTTTAGTTGCTTACTGGAGTCAAACGATCTTTTTCTTGCTCTTGAATCATTGAGGTCCATTTTCTGACAGAGAACTAAAGTTAGATACAAACCCTGACATAATTGTACTCAGAAAATGGCAAAGAATAAATAATATTTATTGCCAACATAACATCAAGTGAAATCCGTGTAATGAGAAAATGCATACAGAGAAGAATACGTGGCTCAAATTCATCGAGCTTAAAGACAAATAGATGAATTTTTTTTTTATGTAAGAGTTCCATAATTCATGCTCCTCCATTAACAGCACATTTGACAATTACAGTCTCCAACCAGTTTTTGGCACAAATTATCATAGATCCAAACTTTTTTATTTCAGTTGAAGAATCACATTCTGAGCCTTTAACCATATCACCAATCAGAATAATCATTTCACTTCAAGAACAACATATCTGAAAAGTATGCAGTCCAATAATGGTAGTTAATTTCCATTTTATTTAGTTGTACACCCAGAATCCAAGAATGAAATGATTCATCTAGACAAGGAAGTTACAAGGAAACAAAAGACCATCTTATACTAGGAAAATGAAACCATCAAGATCCAGAAAGATGTCTTTGTCCATAAAAAAGGAAGTTCTATAATAGACCAACTGAAAATTAATGCCAAAAGTTAAGGAAAGTGTCCAAAATGACTCTTAAGACTTCTCATTTCCCATTGTTTGAGTTTGAATTCATTCAGATCCCAAGGCAACAAGCAAAAGTGTTCTTTTCCTGATTTAATATGCATTGTCAACAGGGACAAATCACATCTAGGGTAGAATTATGCTGCTTCCTTTTCTTACTCACCATAACTTTTCATTTAAAATGGATAGAATTGATGCTGTTTGAGCTTCATTATCATACTGGTGACTCAATAACAAATTGGATGACACAAATTCAGTTCAGTTAATCATCGTCTTCACGTGCAAAACTTTGTCGTTGAAACTGATATATCACGTGTCCACTTTGTAAATAAAATGTTTCGGTGGTCATTTCCAAGAGGAAAGCTTTTTGCAGTTGTACCTCTTTTCAAAGTCATATCATTACGCTAACGAATCAAATTATAGATTTGACGAACAAGAAGGTCACCTTTCCAAATGAAAATCCAAGGGACATAGTTTACAACTCAGTCTCTCATAACATAAAGCCCAAAAGAAAAGAATAAGATGGAGAAGGTAAGGTCTCATGTACTAGTATGAAAACCTGTTTGTCAATACAAGTGCCTTGGAGAGATGGCTACGGAACTGTGTGACAACAAGGGATGCAACCTGAAGCAACCAAACCACCTTCACTTTGTAATGCATGCTCAAAATTCAAATTATAAGAAAGAAATTTACAAACTAAAGGAGGTGAAACAGTTTACCTGATTCATAGCAACATACGCATCTCCTTTAAGCATATAAACTCTACGGCCAGCCACAAGTTCTGGTACTTCTTCAAAAGGAACCTTCACAAAGATGCAAAAGGCCACAAATTACTTATGTTGGACAACCTTGGGACCAGTTAAGCCAAAGGAACATGCAGCCAAACACATAAGAATGCTGCAATGAGACAAAAAATTCAACTTACCTTGAAGATGGTGCTGTCCACTGCAAAAGAAAAGAAAGATTGAGTTTATTTTTGGGAATAAAACAACTCATATACATTTAAGTCACATGAAAAGTACAACTGTACATAAATAAGCATAAAAGTGACATTAAAACTCAAGTATCTATCGATTACGTTGGCAATAATATATGGTACAGAGTCTCCTTATCTATATCATTTCAGATCAAGCAAAAACAACCCAGAGGTCACATTCACTTGTGTAATTAACCATAGAAGACAATGCATGATTCAGGACAATGGTGAGTGTTGCTTCATATGAGCCCAAGTATCAAGGCGATGTTACATTATTCACAATTTGCGCAAAAAAGTACAAGCAACTACTACCTTAACCCACAAAAAAATATCGCATACATAATAATGATTGTACAAGGTGAAAGAGATGAAACACTCCATACAACAATACGATGTAACAACTTACAAAATTTTCCACATACAATGTAAACATCTTCCAAACTACCAATATACAATAAAAACAATGACTTAACTGCCTAAAGCCAGAAATAGATGCTCACAATACAGCATCTTGCACCTATTATATAAATGGATGAAAGATAGAAGCACTGGAGTCCACATTGACTACAACTACAAGCTTAGTCTGTAGTCTGCACTCCAAGTTAAGCTCAAGCATGTTACATTTTGGTAATGGATAATTCCAACATGACAAATGTATGTGACCTTAAAATGAACGTCTTTCTCGTTCAAAAAAGAAAAAGAAAATATGCCATGATGCATTGTAGTTTACAAATGGTCAATTGCTCAACCATCCTTGTCCGAATGGACTCCTGAGGAGGCATGAAATTTAATGTTTGTAACTAGATGCATCATCGTGTGCAACCAAATAAAGAAATCCAGACAAAACAAAAAAGATTCCAATAAGTTTCAAACTTCAATGTTTTTGGTCTAAAACATGCAAGATATCCATGGAAGCATATGTTGACAATAGTAAGCATAGCAAACTGCATTACTTTATGGAAGTGGATTCAATCAGCTTTTAGCATCTGAACGGCTCATACCAGTGGGTAAAGGCTGGTTGATGGAGCGTGCAACTTGGCCTAATTTTTCCTTCACAGCCTGACAAAAAACAAAAGAGAGGACCAAAATTGAAGAGGAAAATGCAAATGGATATTATCCAAAACAAAACCATCACAGAATAGATTATAAGGACATAAGAAAATTGGGCTTGGGCCGTTACAATGAAGATTAGCCCAATTTGACATGACATAAGTGCAGAATTTTCCTACTATTCTCTATTAATTATCGCCTCCTTAATTGCAGGCTATACCTGAGGCTTTGGAAAGTATCAAATGGAGTTTAAGAGATGAAAACAGTTCACTGCATCCAAGATGATTTTCCACTGCCTTGGACGAAAAACACTTGATGCTAAACAAACAAGGTGAAAGTTTTCTGGAGTTATCAATGTAACCAACTGTTCTAAGAAGCAACCAAAAATTTCCAAGAATTATTCTTTTTCTTTCCTAGCATTGCCTATAGCAGCCAAAAAAATACCTTTCAATGTAACACCAAATCCAGGGAAAAAACTTTCCCCACTTAGTCGCATATAAAAACTCTTACATGGGGTATAGATCATTCACAGCAGGTAAGGCCTTTTTTTCTTCAGGAGAATTGTATAGAAATTTAAAACTGATGAAATGGAAAAGCCACAACAACAGAAACGGAAAATACTTAAGAAAAGGACATGGAATTCAAGGTCTTAGTTTGGCAGTAAGGAGGCAAAAGGCCAACAGCATGACATCCAAAGATTGAATCCTCACTAGCCTATCGAAATGGGGCATGCTCGAAACAATAGTGATTTATTACGCAGACTGTTGTTAGCCATCAAACAAATTTGTAGTTTCCAGTGATCAACAAGGATAGTGATGTGAGTTGTTATAGCAAATTAGAAATGCAATCAAGTTGAGGGATTATGTCAACAGTATGCATGAACAGGAATCACAAATAAGCTCTAGCCATAAACATCAAAAGCATGCATCCTTGGGACAATACCCAGAAAAAAGCAAGACAAATTAAGACATGTACCCAAAACAAGAAAGACAAGTTGTGGAATGTAAGTTGCCATAAAGGACTTCAAAAACAGAACTCCAAGACTGTCAAAAAATCTGTGGATATTGATTCAGGTAAAATACAAAATTCCAAAACTTCAAATTGAAAGCGCTTGAACTTTCGCCTGAAAGTTTGATAGACACATTGTAGTATTTTGTACTGGGTTCATCTGAGTTTAGTAACTCACTATTCCAAAGCACAAAGTTATTCATAGGGGCACTCTAAATGATGGCACAAATAAGTAACAACTTTTGGAAAGCCCAAAAATCAACAAAAGTTTGGTCAAATTCAATATGTCCCAAGTTGGATGTTGCTAAATGCCACACCCCACTAAACACGAAGTGAGATAAAACCCAACAATTGCATCAATATGTTTCAAAATGGCTTTTGATTTGATAGAGAATATATGAAGCCACAGAATAAAAGACTAGCAGAAAATACGGGGCCAAACTAGATAAACAATTTTCAAATCACAATCCACAAGTAAATCATGAATGCAAATCAATTGCACATAAAGTTCAAGTGACCAAGTGGAGCACCTGTAGACAGAGAATGCATTTGGGTTGCAGTCAATCTAAGAAAGCGGATCCAATAGGTCTTGTTTTTTTTCTAATCAATATACAATCCAATAGTATAAGCTACCTTTCAGACCGAGTCCTCCATACCTCAAATTCTGAATTGCTGAGAGCTTTAAAAGGCAGCTTGAATTCACTCATAAGCATCCTCTATAAAACAGCAGAAGCATCCATTCAGAATTTATGCACATCAAGACCAAAACAATTTCAATTGTTGTTCAATTGAACTACTCCAACCTGAACTTCTAAGGATTCAAGTCGAAAGCGATGCCGAAACAGGGTCGTCTCCATGGAAAGAAACCATTTGCGAAGATCTTCCCTGTAACAACAAAGCAATCGAATAATTGTAAAGCCAATAAATTGTGAAGAAAGACTATTGAGATACCAAAAAACTAGATCCTTAGAAAAAAGCATTATAAAGAAATGAGTCCCATCTTACGTTCTGCAGTAGACCAGGCGTAACACAAAGTGAGAGATTATATCCTTGTTCATGACGTCAGACGGGTTTGGATGCTGCATGTGCTCCTTCCAAAGCTCAGTGACCTAAACCAGAGTTACATTAAATCAATTCTCCCAGACACATACACATGCGCATGCACACATACACACACACAACAGAGAGAGAGAGAGAGAGCAAAAAAACACAGGCAAGATATTCCAAACCCAAAACATACCAAGGCCCCAATCTCGTCCGGTTTCTTGCCCCGAGACAACCCATCAGACATTGCTTTCAATACTGCAAAAGCCCTTGAACCTCAATCACAATCCAAACCCTAAAACAACTAAGCATCACGCTTTCTACAGCTGACAAAGGAACCACAAAATGCAGTCTATGACGCATATAAAGCCTTTATCGGAAACTGAAAACCAAAAGGACCAAATGAATCCTAAAATCCACCAAAATATGAACAATTGTAAAAAGAAAACGGCCAACACGAAGCAAAAGTGGGGAAAAATTGTTCTCCGTGAATTCAATCAAGCCTCTCTCATAACTCTAAACCTGAAACGAACAAAATGAAAACCAATAATCTACAGCTAGAATCACCAAAATGCATCAAAAGGGCGCCAAATCAACCATAACTCGCCACAAAGATCCTTTTAGAGGGAGAGAAGTAGAGAGAGAAAAAGAGAGATTGAACAAATAGATCGCAGGAAAAAAAATAAAATGATAATCGAAAATCATTAATTCATGGATAGAAACCCTAGAAGGTTGATCAAGTGGGAGGATGGGTACCTCTAAGGCGATCTATGGCGTAGAGTTCAAAGTCATCGAGACTGACCTCGAGCTCAGGAGCAGAGCGGTAGAGAGGGAGAGAGGGAGAAGGCTCCGATGCGGTCGTCTTCCTCTTCTGAGCACTCACGGTCTCCATTGCCACACACACGAATTCAGATTTCACGCTCGCAGCCTTTGAATCTTCTCATGGACTTCACACTGCATTGCCGTGATTTGGAGAAGGCGGGAAACTCCTTTTCCCTCGAAAGTCGAAACCCTTTTGCCAAAGGACCCGGTTTCTAGGCGGCCAAGCCAGCATATGTAGAAATGCGGGCCGATTAATTGGTCTACTTTTTAGATGGATTTTTTAACTTAATTTTTAGGGACATGTAATCTCTAAGTTAACTTCTATTGTTTTTTGATGGAGCATATACTTGCATTCATCTTTAAGATGGGTGCTTTATACTTTTTGGACCGCATATGTAGTAATGCGGTCCTCCCCTTGAGACAATTTTTTTTTACGAAAACTTTTAAGTTTTAACAGGGTTGCAATATTATTATAAGGGTGTGGTTTCTAAAAGGTTGCAAACTTAAACAATCCAATTAAGGTGCACCTCCAAATTTTATCTTCACATGAAATTTTGGTGTAAAACTTTTTTAGGATTATCCGAAAGAAAAAGCTTATATAAGGATACAACCTTATAATGCAGAACTACATACACCTCAAAAATCCATCGGAAAAGATAGTTTTAATGTTAAAAAACCCTTTGATTGATCATCTCGAAAAGATAGTTTTAATGTTAAAAAACCCTTTGATTGATCATCTCGACTTCGAGATGTATGACTAGGAAAAATAAAAGGATTTTAAGTCTCAAAAATAGTGTATTTTACAACATATTATCTACACCATCCATTTTCAAGATTTTTATATGTTTATAGATCTACTTAATTTTAACCAATTTTTAAATTTAAAATTTTATAATTAGATATAAAAATAGATTTTGAGATAATCCTAAGAACATTTTACATCAAAATTATATACCGCGATAAAATTTGAAGGTGCACCTTCCCTCTACAGCTACGGATGCATCCGTATGCCAACTGCACCCTTCTCTGAAAATCTATTTTCATATCTAATTATAAACTTTTAAACACCAAAAATTGTTAAAATCAAGTAGATCTATAAACATATGAAAATCTTAAAAATGGACGGTCTAGATAATGTGTTGCAAGATGCACTATTTTTGGGACTCAAAATCTTTTTTTCTTATATATATATATACACACACACATCTCGATGTCGAGATAATCAATTAGAAGGTTTTACAACATTGCAAAAAAGCTTTTTCGATGGATTTTTGAGGTGTATCCTTAATTCTACATTTTAAGGTTACAACCTTATATAAACTTTTTTCTTATCGTAATTAATATGCGATGAAGGATAAGAGCCTTCACCCATATACAATCGCCAGTGATAAAAGCCTTACTAAGAAAAAGAAATTTTTCTTATTATTTTGCCTCCACCTTTATTTATAGGGAAGTTTACGTAAATATCCTGCACACCTTTTTGAATTGAAAAGGTTTATATAAGTGCGAGGCTCTAAACAATCAAATTAGGGCACACCTCATAATTTTATTAAAAGATATTATTTTAAAGCTAAAAAATCCTTAAATTGATCATCTCAACCTCAAGATGTATGGACATGACAAAAAAATGGATGTAAATATTGGAAATAGTGAATCTCGTAATGCATTTTTGGATTGTCAATTTTCAAGATTTTCAAATGTTCATAGATTTGCTCAATCGACACTATTTTTTAAACTTTAAATTTTATAGTTAAATATGAAAATAAATTTTCAAGCTATCACAAAGATTTCCAATATTAAAACCACATTTCTCGACATTATTTGAAGGTGCGCTTTATTTTGATTGTTTAGAGACTTAGTCCTATACGAACCGCATCCATTAAAATAACAAGTTTTTTATTTTATTTTTTACCCTAAAATATTCAAGTTGTTTTTTAAGCGCTCTCTTTTTTGGCCCAATCAGAGAATCTGGAAGTTTGTTTGGCGCTTAACAAGGATCTTGTATATATTTTTTTGGAATTGTATATAATGAGACCATTTACATTTGATACGAGGTAGTCACAATTCCTTACAACCATTTGATGTGAAATTTGATAGTTTGGATGTGTCACAAAGTTTGAGAAAATTTCTTTTTGAAGTTTGACCTTGGTCAATGGAATAATTACAACCACCCAATTTGACATCCAATAGTCAAGATTAATGTGACCACCTTGTATAAAAGGTAAATGGTCTCATTCTATATTTTCTCTTTTTTGAATTAAAAAAGTAGTGTCAACACCTTCATGCACTTAAGTATTCACAAATCTAAAAGTCATGAGGGGTTTAGAAGGGTCCAAACCTTGTAGTAATAGGGGAAAAAAAAAACTACAGGAATAATAACTGAGCTAAGATGGTGATGGTAATGGAAGTAAGATGGTGATGGTGGCGATACGTAGTGAGGTTTGTGTAGGGTTTTTTCCCTTTGCTATTTTTTATAGGGACGCATTGGTGAAACTTGACACTAAGTCAGAGTTTTTTGTTACTAAGTCTTTTCTCCTCCCATCAAGGATCTTTTTCGGGCTGGCTGATTGGGGGAGACGATGATGAAATTTGGATTGTTTGCGATATAAAGCGATTTGGGGTTGTAAGGTGGTATTCAAATTGAGGTCTCAAGTTGATGTTTCCAGTGCATTGCAAAATCGCTTTTGCAGGTTTAGAGGCTCTTTGTTGTCTTTAGACTATTGGAAACCTTCAGACCACGGTTCTTTTGCTTGCAAGAACCCAGTTTGGATCTGTTTATGGGGTATTACATTGCATGCTTAGAAACTCACAATCATCAAAAAGTTAGCCTCTTGTTGTGGGGTTTACTGTGATGTCGATTAGAATTCTTTGCTAGGTTTGGGCTGTAGATACGTCCGTGTCAAAATTTGACAAAACTTGGCTTCTTCATTACCAAATTATGTTCAATCTTCAAGTTGATAAGGACTTCTTTACTATCAATGTTTCTTTGGATAGTGATGGCAATGAAGGGGTTATTATGGTTAACGATGTTGCATCAAAGGAGAAGGTTAAGAATGATTGGAATGTTGTGTCTCATCGTAAAATGCCAAAGCTCACACTGGAAACGATCCCGGAGACTGCAGAGTTGGTTGCTTAGCATTTATCGAGACAGAGAAAAAGATAAAAACGGCCAATACAAAAATCTCGGAGAAATGGTTATTCATGTCAAATTCGCTTCTGTATTGGAATCGGCTAAAAAATGGGTCCCTATTGGAAGGTTCCCGAAGTGGATAAAGGGTTTTTCGTCACATGCTCTACCCCAGTTGGATAGGCATTACCACGACTTTTCGGTGTTTCATGTTGACTCCTCTAATGCTAGTCTACATGAGGTTAGTAATCTCGTAAGTCCTTTGTCTCAGCCAGGCGGCACTTCTACTGACCTTGAAGAATCGAATATTGCAGCTATGGATTTTGATTTGGGTATGGACTTCAAGGTCCCAATTGGGGTCTTTTTCAATGAGATGAAGCATATCAAGGCTAGAATGACTGTGGAATCAGGGGCGGTGATTGCTTTGAACAATGAGGGGAGGACAGAGGCCCATGGCATCATCAAGAGTATTGCGAAGCCGAAAGTGCCTCTAGGTAAGGAACCATAATTTATTGATCTCTCGGAGGTCTCCTTTGCTTATGCTACTTCAGACTCATTAGAGTATTCAGATTCTGCTAATTACAACGAAGCCTTGATACTGGAGGAACTTTACTTTGGTGCAGGTCTTGATGGGCCAAGTTCCACCTCTAAACCTCCTTGTTTATGAACATTCTATCTTGGAACGTTAGGAGTCTGGGTGAAGCGTAAGAGGGATGTGTCTTATTTTTTGTTTCTAAATTTAAGCCCTGGATTTTGAATCTTCAAGAGACAAAACTCCCTAGTCCTAGTGTTTTTGGGGCTAGAGAGATTTTGGCTCAGGGGCTGTCTCTTTTTGTGGCATTGATGTTGTTGGAGCATCTGGTGGTTTGTGGGTTTTGTGAGACCCTCTTGTTCTTCATCATTTTAAGATTGTTCTTCGAGATAAATTGTTACTTCTTGGCATTCATAATTCTATCTCAGGGTTTTCTTGGGGTATTATGAATGTATATGGTCTTAAGGAAGATTTTATCAATGATAAGGATAGTGTGATTCAACAATTTCAATTTCCTGTGTATAGGGGGAGACTTTAATCTGATTAGGTCGTCAGATAAATGTTCGGCAGGTTATCCTACTAACTTGTCTATGAGGCTGTTTAATAGATTCATAGAAAATCATTCTTCTTTGATCTACTGATTGTTGGGACCAAATTTACTTAATCGAATAATAGTACTAGTCTTTCAATGTCTAAATTGGATAGATTTTTGGTATCTACAAATTGAGTAGATGATTTCCCTCTTATATTTGTTAGAGTTCTTCCACGTTTTTTTTCTGATCATGTCCCCATTTTTTCATATACTAGCATGGATAGAGGTGGGCCGAATCTTTTTAGGCTTGATATTGAAGAGAACACGATGGTAGATGCCATTAAACCTACCTGGTAGAATACAATTTTTATTGGTTCCTTGGATTTTCAATTACACAAAAAACTGATCAACATTAACCATAAACTCATCACCTGGAAGAAAGATAATAAGTACAATGTTCAGTCTAAAATTGATGAGGTCTTATGTGAAATTAAAACCTTGGACCAGCATGGGCAATCTACAGGTGTTTTGACTGAGGAGTTGAACGGTGAAAGGAACTCGAGGTTGAAATCTCTTCATGGTCTTCTTAAAGTTGAGGAGTTATATTGGAAGCAAGGGTCAAGGATTAAGTGGTTAAAAGAGGGAGATTTGAACACCAAGTTCTTTCATTCCATTACAAGTGCGAGGAGGAGGCAAAACGATATTTCTAATTTGTCTATCCCTAGTGTTGAGGCAGAGGATAATGTTGTTATGGAATGGGCTATTATTGACTATTTTAATAAGACTTTCACGACAGGTGAAATTCACTCGTATTTTGTAAAAAGTAACCTTTAAAGTTCTGTCAGGAGAGATGAATTATAACTTGGAGTGTAACATTTCTATGGAAAAACTAAAAGGGGTTGTTTTTGCTTGTTTTACTTGGTGGTAAGGCTCCAAACCCAAATGGCTTTCTTCTATCTTTCTTCCATAGATTTTATAACCTGATCAAGTCTGAATT